GCGAATGAACGCCTTCTTATAAAGAGAATGTTGCTATACTTAGCAATCATTAAAAAAACCAAGAAAAAGAAATGATTAAATTAATTAAAAAGTTTAATTTCCCAAATATAGGAAGTTAGCTCTTTAAGCACTTGTTTGAAGAATGGTTTCAGAGCTACTCATTTAGTGATTTTACGAGCTAATTTTTATTTACCCATTATAGTTATTATGCCAGACCATTTTACAAATGCACGAGGCTTGCTACAGCTATTTTTTTTATTTGGGTAAGTCAAACTTAATTCTTGTCTGAGTCTGATAATTTATGTGTATTTCACACATTTTGCTGGTGTACAAATGTAGATTTGATTAGTTGCTGAATTAGTTTGCATCTTATTATTAAAATCCCGAAAAACTTGCCACCATATGTGGCAACTACCTGTATGATCGATTTAATTATTATTATTTTAAATTTGGTAGGTATGTCGTTTCTGCAAGGATACTATAGCACCCCATATACATTTTAAAAGCTTTAATTTTTTAGCTTAAAAAAAAGTTTTTTGTTCTATATTTTGTTAAAATTGATTTCAAGATATTTTTATATTTTGGTTGTTGGAATAGGCTGATTTTGGCTTTAAATATGGTATCAGTTGAGAAGTTGATAGCCATGATACCACATTTTTTGTTATTAACATTCATATCCCAACGTTTAATCCATTAGGTTAGGATATCAAATGGTGTTTGCAGTTCATCTGATGTTTCTGCTAGTATTACAGCATCATCGGCAAACAAATCCCTGGTATTTTATTTTGCATGCCAGGTACCGATATTCCGCACATGTTTTAAAAAAAAAAGTTTATATAGATGTTGAATAGAATTGGCGATGTTAAAAATTCTTGCTTTACGTCACATTTATAGACAATATAGTCTGGTATTATATTATTGATTTTGAATGCAAGCTTTGGAAATGATACAGTTCTTTGATAAATTGAACCAGTTTTTCTACTATACGATTAGATTTTAATTTATAGAATAATCGGTTTTGTGGTGCCAAATAATAAGCTTTTTGAAATCTATGAGTCCAATATAGGTATCAAGATTTTGATTGTTTTTTGGCTTAAAGTCAAAGTAATAATTGCTTTTTAATATATGCTTGATTAAACCTGTATATGTAATAGTGTTATATGTCACAAAGACCAATTTTATCTGGTAGCGAAAATAGCTCATTATCAGCACTTTGACTCACAACAGGCACATATAAATAAAGGCTTACAAAAGAATAGTGCTTTAGGCGTATTTTTTAAAAATTTAGTATTTATTAGTATAGATAAGAGTGATTTTTTTTGTAAACGCCTGTGATTGGCTACTATACAATAAATAAGGTCAGAGAGAATATATAGTGATACATGGAACCTATAGAGTTTATAAAAAACAATCATCTGCATAATTTTTGTTGCTAGAGATAGATATATCTTTGAAAAAGTATACCATTATTGTTAAATATTTTAATAAAAGATTGAATACACTAAATCATATTGTACTATTTTAGAAGCCTTATATATTAGATTATCTATTAATTATCAGGCTTTAAATTAAATAATATTTATTGCAATATAATCTGTTAAAATTTTACTAGTAAAACTATTTATTGATTTTTCACTTTTAAGCAGTAAATGTTTTTTAAACTAAAATAGCTTGATATCGTAATTATTCAATTATTCAATTATGAATTTCCACGATCTCAAAGTTTACATTTAAAAGTACAAGTTTTTAGAGGTTATATAATAAGATATTCTAGTCACATTATAATTTATTTTTATTAATGTCTAAAATAATCATAATTAAATATATTTATCAATCCAAAAACTCTTGGATTTTAGGTTTTTAATTTACTAGTAAAAAATATTATTTAAAAGTCTATTTTATTTATATAATTTTATTTAAAGTGAGATAGTGCCTCCAATGTAAATTTTCTAGAAGCGTCATAATAGAATTCGTTCATAGAATCATCCAGTTTGTTTTCTTGTTCGTACATTCTAATCCAGATAGAATTATCTATTAACAAGTTA